GCAGGCTTAATGTCCATGAGAGGTTTGTGAAGGGTCACTCAGCCTCTTCCTAGGAACAGTCTCAGGCCACTGTCAGTCTCCGGAACTTTGTGTCTGGGGAAATACTATCAGGGTCCTGTGAGGTCAGAGAAGTCTCGTGTGTTATCTCAGAAGCTAAAAGTCTCCTGCGTTCCCTTTCTCCAGACTCCCGGAGAAAGAAGCTTAGCTTCTCCCTCCTACCTGCTTCCCTCTCCGACTCCTCCACCCACCGGGACCATTTCCCCTTACCCAGCAGATCAGAAACTTTTATTTGTAATCAGTATGAGAAATGGAAGTGAGAACCTCATGCATGCTGGGTGTTACCACCAGAAAAGTGCAAAGAAGAACCACTATCCCGGGGGTTCCTAACTTCGACCCTTTAATACAGTTCCTCAAGTTGTGGTGACCCCTCCCCCAGCTATAAAATCATTTTCATTGCTACTTCATAACTGTAATTTTGTTACTATTGAAAGGGGTAAACTAAACTAAAAGGTTTCACTTCTAGGAATGAAGGGACCAGACCCTCAACTCAGCCCCTGCTTTAGCAGCCATGACAGGCTACAGAAAAGACACGTAGGCCTCTAACACAAGGAAACTCCAGATCCTCCGGCCTCCCAGAGCCTAGGTCCAAAACTGCCTAGGTACTTGGTTCCTGGGAACTGTTTGGCCATAAAAGAAACTCCAGGGGGGGGACCAAAACCTCCCCTGTAGTCTCCAGGATACAGTTCTGAAAACCATTGTTATCTATGTACAACAGGCCACCTGCAAGTAACAAGACAAAGCCATAGAAACCACAGAATGTTCCCTCTCAGCACTGGCCAATGAAAATATCTGGTACACAGGTATTTCAGACCAAAATATGACTGAGAAATTCTTCTGATTGTTCCCAAATGTCAACCAATCAGAAACCAACCCGTACCTACTGATGTAATCCTGCAACTTTTGTCTTTAAAACCTAGCAATAGACAGGGAACTTCACCCCCTCTGGAGGCTGCTGTGTCAGCTTGCTAGACGGGGTCCCTCCCGAGGTAGGATGGATAATTTAATAAACCTCGTGCATTTGCACCGGTGGTCTTCCTCCCTGGTCTCTTTGGGGATACTTGTGACTCAGGCACAACACTATTATAAATTGTAACGTGAATATCTATGCAGGATATCGGATATACAACCCCGTGAAAGGGTCATTCAACCCCCAAAGGGGTTGTGACCCCCACGTTGAAAACCTCTGCCTACCAGGAAGTTCATCAGCCAACCCCATGTGGTAAGGGGCAGTCAAAATGAAGGCCCAAGGGCTGGGCTGGGGGAAGGGAGGCTAGCTCAGTGACACATCACTTGCCTAGCAGGTATCCTGTTATACCAATGAACTCTGTGTGGCATGATATCTCATTTTGCATATGCAAATATGCTTACTCCCAGGTGCTATCCAAAACATGTCTGGGACCAAGCATTTCGGACAAGGAATGCTCTACCTATGACCTACCCCAGAAGCTTTCCCTTGTCAAAGCAGCCAGCCCTGTGACTGGAGGCAGAAACCAAGGTCAGGGAAAGTTCAATGATGGACCTGGAATTCTATGTATCCTTTATATGTGGGTCACCTTCCTGAAGGCTTAGAGACATTACACCTGTGATCTTCCAAATCCCTATAACACCAAACCCGGAGAAGCAGACCCAGAGGGTATGCTGGTTAGCTTTTACTGTCAACTTGACTCAACCTACAGCCACTTGGGAAGAAAGTGTTAATGAGGAATTATCTAAATCAGATTGTGTGTGGGCATGTCAGCCAGGGATTATCATGCTTGCAGGAAGACCCAGCCTAAACTGGAGTTGTAAGTAGTCTAAGAGAAGAGGAGAAAGCTCACTAGCAAGCCAAGAACCATGCGTTTATTTTCTTTCTGCTCTTGACTGTGGGTACAATGCTTCAAGTTCTTGCCTTGACTTCCCTAAAGTAACGGTCTAACCTGGGGCTGTAAGCTGAATAAACTCTTTCTTCCATAAATTGCTTTTTTGGTCACAGCAACAGAAGTGAAATGGGAACAGAGAGTTTGATCATTTTCCCAAGGCCTTGAGGCAGTAGCAGACATTTGCATTAATGCTGCCTAAGTTGGCCCTCTTAACAACCGCCCGGTTTTTTACCGCTCGATGTTCTCTGGAAGCCTCGGCTTAAGCATGCACATGCGTAAATAGAATAAGAACGCCCATCCCACAGGATGAGGATTAGATCTGAGACGCACGGGAATCTGGAACACAGTAGATTCGTAGCCAGGAAGACGTTTCTCTCCTCCAGGGCGATAGCTGACAGTTGCAGCATCTGGTCACAAGAGGGCAGTCACGTGCCGAAAATCTGCACTGTCACTGTGTCTATGGTGGCTGACTTTATTGCGCTTTTTCTTCGTTGTTTGACCCTAGGATCAAGGGCATTTCTCACCACCGTGGAACCTTAAACTGACCTACAATATTTAGACCCAAGGGACCTTTCAGCAGTATCAGTTCTGCTGACGGAGGAGGTTTAAAGGGGATCCAGCTGTGTCCCATTTGGAGGTGGCAGTGGTTGGGGGGGCAGCAATTACCAGCAGTTCTCCCGCTGGGGGCTGGGACACAGCTGCAGGGTGTGTGTGTGTGGGGGGGATGACAGGGAGGGCTTTGGAATTGTCTCCTTAGGGGTTTCCATGGTTACAGATTGATGCAAGCAGCCCACTAGGCTGGGTCCTTTATCTATATTGTCTCCGGGGTAGACAATGGACCTTGGGGGTTGCTCGGCTGTATGTATAGATCATGGCTGCAGCAGAGCCTTGTGTGCCCTCTCTGTGAGCCCCCTGACCCCAGATGCTGAGGCTGAGGGAGGCTGGTGAGGGGGGAGTCTTGGTAGTCAGCCTTGCTTTGGGGTACCAGACTGAGGCTCCAGGCACTAAATAAAAGGTACATATTGGGGAGGACTAGCTTTGATAAACTCGTGATACTGACCCTGTCTGTCACTGTGACTTGGGCAAGTTCTTTTTCCTACCTGCATCTCAATGTCCTTAACACACGAAGAAAACACCCATTTTGTTAAATTGTGGAGGAAGATGTCAGGAAAAGTGCTCAGGGTGAGTCTGAGTTCAGAGAAGCAGTGTAGCACAACAAATAAAAGACCCAGGGACTGATATTAGGGTTCAAGCTCCAAGCTGAAGATCAGAAAAGCAAAGCAGCCAAGTCAGTATCTCTTACCTCTACCCAGATGAAATGGCAATCCTGTTTCCATGAATCCTCAGAAGCAAAGGCTCTGAATTCCTGTCTCTTCCTCCTTTTGTTCCTCCTTCCATCCAGCCATATCTTCCTGTCTCCACTCCCTAATGCTGGGATTAAAAGTGTATGATCCCAGGTGCTGAGATCACCTTTGTGTGAGCTGTTTCTTTTAGGACTGGATCAATTTTGTGTGTGGCCTTGCACTAACAGAGATACGTCTACCTCTTAATTCTGAGTCCTGGGATGAAAGGTGTGTACCACCACCACCTAGCTCTGTGGCTGCTGGGATTAGCGGTGTGTGCCACCACTGCCTGATCTCTATATTTTGAGGCTGGCTTTGCTTTCTGAATTCTCAGACAAGATTTAATAAATCATAAATATATCAGCACAAGGTCGAGGCACCCTGAAACATAGCATTGGTCAAGAACCCTTTTGTAGCAGGGCGTTGGTGGCACAGGCCTTTAATCCCAGCACTCTCTGTGTTTGAGGCCAGCCTGGTCTTCAAAGACAGTCTCCAACCCTTCAGAGAATCCCTGTCTCGAAAAACCCTTTTGCTGGGTCTCAGGTGCCCTTTTATGACTTGAGGACTTAGAAAGATTTAAATGATGAAATGCAATGATGAACTTATAAAATATCCTTAGAAGGTTGGGGGTGTAATGGAGTCTTAGAGAGACTGATTAGCAAGCACAATGTCTTATTTTTTTTTTAAGATTTATTATTTATACAGTGTCTCCATGAATGCCTGCAGGCCAGGGCACTAGATGGTTGTGAGCCACCATGTGGTTGCTGGGAATTGAATTCAGGACCTCTGGAAGAACAGGCAGCACTCTTAACCTCTGAGCCATCTCTCTTGCCTCAAGCACAAGGTCTTACTTTGATATCCAATACCCAAATAATAGTAATAATATTTGTTTTCTTTGAGACAGGGTTTCTGTGTAACAGCCCTGGCTGTCTTAGAACTCACTCTGTAGACCTGGCTGGTCTCGAATTCAGAGATTTACCTGCCTCTGCCTTCTGAGTGCTGGGATTAAAGACGGGCATGTGCCACCACCGACCAGCTAATTTCTCTCTCTTTGTGTCTCTCTGGTGTGTGTGTGTGTGTGTGTGTGTGTGTGTGTGTGTGTCCACAGATGCCAGAGGTTGCCTGCTGAGTTCCAGTTCCAAACAGTTGTGAGTTGCCTGTGAGTCCTGGCACCCAAACCCGGTCCTCTCCAGGAACAGTATGGTGCTCTGCCTGATGTCTCCAGGTTTCTGTTTCTGTCTCTCCCCTGCTTGATACTAACAGGCTTTCCATGGCATTGGAAGACGAGACACATGGTCAGGGCACCAAGGGATGTTTGTAGTGGTCAAGGCAGCAGGCTGAGAGTCTCAGAATGGGGGATTGTTTGCAGAAGGAGCTGCCACACTGTGTGAGGGAGACACAGTAGCTCAAAGGGCTTTGTCACTAGCTGACCAGCTCTCTAGTCACTGCATAAGAGAGGAGAGAAGGGGGAAGCTATTATCACCACGTCCCATTCCCGAGACTCCTTTCTAGGAGGCCAGTTGATCATTAACTTCATGTATAATAGGGTTGCACAGATAGATCCATCCGTGGGGGGGGCGAGGCGGGGGCTGGAGCCCAAGGCCTCTTACAGGCTGGGCAAACACTCTTACTACACTCTCAGCCCAGGACTGCTGCGCTCTCCAGATGATTTGGCCCCAGATACATAAGGCTCAAAATTAAAATCACCGCATCCGCATGTGGGAAACACATAAGGAAAAAGTAGAACAGTTTTTTTGTATTAAAAAAAAAAATACAGGAGCTGGAGTGATGGCTCAGTAGCTAAGAGTACTGGCTGCTCTTCCAGAGGACCCAGGGTCAGTTCCCATCATTCATAAGGCAGTAACAAGTGTCTGTAACTCCAGAATCTGACACCCTTACACAGGAAACTCACCGATGCACATAAAATAAAAATAAATTGTTAAAAAACAAAAGCACAACACAAATGGACTAGAAATGGAGCTCTGTGGAAGAGTGCTTATGGAGCATGAATGAGGCCCTAGGTTCAATCACCAGCACTTCATAAACCCTGTGGTGTTACACCCCTGCAATCCCAGCACTCCAGAGAGGCACAGGCAGCAGGATTAGAAATTCAAGGTCATCCTTGACTACATACTGAGTTCAAGGATGGACTAGGCTACCTGAGATTCTTGGGGAAAAAAACAAAACAAAAAACAACAACAACAACAAAAAAAAACCTAAAACACTGCAGAAAATGGAACATGGTGATGTCTCAGACCTATAATCCCAGCATCTGAACGAAAAGAATTGCTGAGTATGAGGCTAGATTGGATCACCTAAATTCCAGGCTAGCTTAGACTAGAGTGAGAACCTGTCTCAACAAAACAAAACAAAAGCAGCCTGTGGTGGTGGAACACTTGGAAGGTAGAAGCAAGCAGGAAGCCAGCCTGGTCTACAAAGTGAGTTCCAGGATAGCCAGGACCATCTCGGAAAAACAAAACACAAACAAACAAACAAACAAAAAAAAAAACACATACACAAAAACATTTTAGATATGGAACCAACAAATAAAATTTAAATGCTTCCAATTTAAAGATATAAAACTTTCATTAAAATGCTTTCAATGTCCATTATGCAACCTTCTTTTATAAAATCTCTGTGCTGTTATGCCACTGCACACATGAAAGTCAGAAGACAGATTTCAGGAGTCACTTCTGCCCTTTCACTGTGGGCTCCAGGAATCGAACTCAGGTCATCAGGCTGGCACAGCAGGAACTTTCAAGACAGAACCAAGTCGCCAACCCCAGTGTGTGTGTAACATGGAGCCTCACACACACCAAGTGTTCAATAACGAATGTTATCTCCAGAGTTCATTACTGCACCGCCAATGCCGAGGCACAGGGTGAGTAACCATGTCCTATCTCTGAGAACTTCAGTGTGGGGGAGACTACTCGGAACAAAACCTGATCTCTGGCTTGTCCTGCAGCTTTACATACACCACCTCAGTGAGCTCTCAAAATAACCTTGGTTTTGCTTTGTCCTGGTTGGTTGAGACAGATTCTTGCTACGTTGTAGCTGAGGCTAAACCTTTTACTGATCTTCCTGCCTCTGGCTCATACATACACACACACACACACCATGCCTCAGGAGAAAGGTGCTTTTCTTTCCTATCCCATTTTAGAGTAAAAACTAGGCCTCAGTGGTCTTTATCCTTCATCCTCTTGCCCAGATATAATTAATTTCTTATTCACATTTGAGGATGAAATAAAAAATAAGTATATGGGGAAAGATTTTCATTGGCTTAACAGGAGTGTTAAAAGGTTATAAGTAAATCTATTTTTATAAGGCACATAGACCTTGGACCCATTTTTTGTTGTTGTTTTGTTTTGTTTTCTGAGACAGGGTTTCTCTGTGGCTTTGGAGCCTATCCTGGAACTAGCTCTTGTAGACCAGGCTGGTTTCGAACACACAAAGATCCACCTGACTCTGCTTCCCAAGTCCTGGTATTATTAAAGGTGTGTGCCACCACCGCCCTGCCCATTTTCTTAAAATGAGTTTTTACTCAACTGAAAACAAGCCAGGTGTCTAAGAACTTTCATTCCTGGGCACTTGGCAATAACTCTTTCAGGAACTTTCTACACTTTCTGCAGACCTTGTAAGAATTCGCAAGAACTGGAGATGTGGCTCAGTGGAAGAACACTTGCTTAGCATGCACGAGACTGTGGGTTCAATACCCAACACTCCACAAAAGAACCCCAAAATGTAGAGATGCTGAGAGAGCCCCCTTTGTGAGAGAGGTGAAGCTCTCTGCAGAGTTGCAGGGCAAGGAGGGGACAGAGCCAGAGCTGGGTGTGGCAGCCTTGTCTCACTCAGAGTCTGCTGGGTAGAGCTCAGAGCAGCCTCTAGCTCTTCATGGCCCTTTCCAGCCCATTTGGAAAGGAGCACAGTGTGGCTGGGGCTTCTCAGAGCGTGTGACCACAGGCTTGTGTGCTCATGTAGGCACATGTGTGGCTGTGTGAAGCTGGCCTGGTGCCTGGTCTCACAAAACCATGTAATAAAAATCTGGTACATCTTCCTGAGATGTCAATTTAACTTAAATAACGAAATAGAAGAGAGAGGCCACATTTTTACACGAAGACACAGATGGCTACAGAATGTATAGGAACAGTGACTTCTCATGGCATGCTGAGATGATGAGTGACAGCTAGGGGAGGAAGGGAGGACAGTTTTTAGGTACCATATGCTAACTGGTTCTCACAACGGTCAGTGGGAGAGACTACTATTTTTCCCATTGCACAGATGTAGCTGCTGGGGCAGAAACCGTTAAGCTGCAAGTCCAAATCCATATAGCCAGTGAAGGGACCAGCTCCCCATTTCGGCAGCCATGACAGTAACACGTGCTCTATGACCTTGTCTTAGTCACTAGAAAGTCAGGGGCCTGCCTTGTGACAAGGAACCAATCAGAAGTTAGCTGGTAGTGCTATGCTTTACGACCGTGGGTGTACTTTACAGACAAGCACACAGCATGGCAACCACCCTGGGAGGGCCTATGGGCCATAACAACCAGTTGACCAATCAACACAGGGCAAGCCCTCCAAGGCTGGAGTCACACCAATAGTGAGCTTGTTCGTACCCCTAGACACTCCCCTTACGCTGCCCTACAAGATCTCTTGGGAGGCCCTAGGAGTTGTTTTTGCTAGCCATCCGAAATGGCGGGTGGGTGAAAGACCCAAGCTAACATGGGGTTAGCTCGTTAAATTACAATAAAGCCTCATGTAGTTTGCAGCAAGTCCTTGAATTCTCCTGGTGATTGGGGTGACCGAGGTCATGGCCTGGGACCCCGGATACGTGAGTTTTCCGGGGGTCTAACACCAGTAAGTGGGAAAGTCTACAACTCACAGGCACTTAATAAATGAATATCAGAATGTCTGTATTAGCCATCACTTGTTCCAACAGAAGTTTTACCAGCATCATGTGTGAGGGTAATCATATAAAGCAGATATCGGTGGAACTCAGTTGGTAGAGTTCTTGCCTAGCAAAACCCAACATTACATAGCAGGGCATGGCCAGGTAAAAGTGCCTACCACCAAGACCAATGCCTGGAGTTCAATCCCTAGGATTCACTTGCTGGAAGAAGAGAACTGACTTCAGCAAGTTATCCTCTGATGTCCATCCACAGGCTGTGGCCTACTTGTGCCCAAACACATACAAAATTTTAATAGTAATAGTAACAATGAAATTAAAGCTGGGTGTGGTCGTGGTACATGTCTGTGATTCCAGCACTGAGGAGGTAGAGGCGGGAGGGTCAGAAGTTCAAGGTCAGGCTGGAAAGATGGTTCAGCCTTAAGAGCACCGGCTACTCTTCCAGAGGACTTGGGTTTGATTTCCAGCACCCATGTGGCATCTTAAAACTATCTGTAACTCCCATTCTAGGGAATCTGATGCCCTCTCCTGGCCTCCTCAGACACTGCAGGCATGTGTTGCACAGACTTACATGTGGCAAAACAGTCAGATGCATAGAAAAAAAAAGGTTTTTTTTTGTTTTTTTTTTTAAGTTTAAGGTCGCTGGGAAGTAGTGGTGCATGCCCTTACTCCCAGCACTCAGGAGGCAGAGACAGGCAGATCTCTGTGAGTTTGAGGCCATCCTGATCTACAGAGCCAGTTCCAGGACAGCCACGGCTACACAGAGAAACCCTGTCTCGAAAAACAAAAAGTTCAAGGTTGTTTTTGGCTATAGAGTTGGAGGACAGCCTAGAAGGAAAAGGGGGGTGGGTAGGACGGACAGGGGGGAGGGGAAGGCAGGACAGAGAGAAGGGACAAGTGGCCTCCCCTGGCCTCCCTTTGGCTAGATGGATAATGGCTGCCCACAGTGAACAGCTCACCTAGACCTGGTACCCTACCTCTGCCTGACCCCTATAGTCGGACTTTCTATTTCCAGGTCTGTGAGTGTTTCTTTTCCATATGATCTTGTGTAAGTCACTTCTCTACCCTGGGGCTCAGTTTCTCCTTGCAGGATGGCAGAGAGGAACCTCAGACACTGAGAGGTGGCAGAGCTCAGGGGTGGAGTCCAGCTGTGTCTTCTCTGCACTGCTCATTCCCTAAGCGCTAGGATGCTCTGCTGGATGGGCTGTGGGCCGTGAAGAACACAAACCCAGGCTAGGTGGTCCTGAGGTGGTTTGCACTGCCAACAGCAGTACCTAAGAACCCAGGAATGTGACACTACACCCAGCAGACTCCCTGGTGGGGGTCATCTAGGGCCAACCAAGTGCCAGGAGCTTTACATGTGTCATCAAATACAATCATCACATCAACCCAGAGAGGCTCAGAGAGGATAAATGGCTTTACCTGTGGTGGCATAGCTGATAAATGACAAAGCTAGGATTCCAGCCAGCTATGTCAGCTTCCCAGACTCTCACAAGGAGAGCTGTTGCAGGCTGGGACAGTGTGTTGGAAGTATGGGAGTGGTATAAAGTTTGGGGGTTATGTCTATATATGTGGGTACACAGGTGTGTACAGGTGCCTTATGTAAAGAGCCCACAGGTTGATGCTGGGTGTCTTCTTCCATCGTTCTTCTTCTCCTTATATTTTGAGACAGGGCTTCTCACTGAACCTGGAGCTCACAGATTCAGCTAGAATGGCTTGTCAGTAACTCTGGGGATCCTCCTGTCTCGCTCCCCAGGACTGGGATTATAGACATGTGCTCCTGCACCCAGATTTCTCGGGTCCTCATGCTTGTCTTTAGGCTCTTTCCTAACAGAGCTGACTTCCTATTCCCAAAGTCCTAAGTAAAAAAAAAAATCTTTTCTTTTTTGCTTGAAGGTGCGGGGAATGGTATTCAGGGGCTCACAGGCTAGTGCCCAGCTGTGTCCCCAAGCTGTGCAAAAGGTCCAGAAGCAAGGCAGATGGCAAACACAGTGGTCACTCCACATTAACTTTTGTTAGGACTTGTAACAGCTTATGACTGAGATAGAAGATACCCCTCCCTTCCAGACTGTTGTCGTAGGTGGGAGCACTCCTAACAGCTTCTTTTGAACTACATCTTGCTGTTCTTGTCTATGCAGATGGATCTGCAATGGAAGAGGTGATTGACAGGTTGTAGGACCCCCCACCAGGATAAGTCCTGGGAGAAAAGCAAGAGATCATGAATAGTGCAGCTTGTCACACATCTGGGCCCATTGGCAGACCTAGAGGACCTCTGGCCCTGATGAGAATGGGGGGGGCAAGTAGGGGGAATGTGATTTTCTGTATTGGTGGCCCCCAAGTCTCCTGAATAACCTATAGGGACTTGGTACAGTGGCCTTTATCTGGAAACTGCTTGTTTGGATGCTAGAAAGAGCACAGGCTGATAACTAAACAAGGCTTAGCAAGAACCAGGGTCATGGAATGGGAGACTTATCCTGGGGAGTCAGCTGTGCCTTAAGTACCTCCTCCACAGAACACACACTTTTAACCCCAAACCCATCCACAGCCAGCGACCACCTTGATGTAGGGTAATGAGTTCCGCATGTGTCTCTAAGAATCCCACTAAGCTGCCCCAGCAGTTCCCAGAGCCTTCTCTCCTCCCAGCTTTCAGCTCCTACTTGGTCACCCTTCCTCTATTTGTTCCTGCCAAGGGTGGCAGGGTAGGGGCTAGGCAGGGACAAGGGACACGGCTTCTGAGAGGTGCCATCCCTACTGCCCTTTCCCAGAGCCTCTGGGTAGGGCTGTGTTTTCCAGCAGCCCCTGGCAGTCTCTCTGTAGAGCAGTGGGTGAGGTCCGTGGATTGGCAAGACTCCAGCCCACCCCATCTCCACAGCAGGAATAATAACCCTGCTGGCTTAGGGAGAACTCAAGGGTTAAGGGAGAATCCAGGGGGTTTAGGCTCAAACTTTGTATTTTATGCTCAGACATATCAGTTTTTCTGATTGTTTATCCACTGTTCTTTCCTAGCTTTTTGAGATGGAGTCTTAGATTGGCTCAGATTGGCCTCCAGCTTTATAAAATATATCATGTGTGCTGGGGGGGGGTCATGCATGATGCAGTGGGCATGTATGGTCAGAGGACAATTTGTGGAGCACATGTTCTCCTTCCCCTACATAGGGTCTGGGGATTGAACTCAGGTCATCAGGCTCGGCAGCCAGCTCCGCTAACCCACTGACCCTGGCCTCCAATTTCCAACATAGTGGAAGATGGCCTTTGAATTCTTGATCGTTCTGCCTCTACTTTCCAAGTGCAGGGATTACAGGTATTTGCTACCACGCCTGACTCCATTTATTTATTTATGTTTTTTTGGAGACAGGGTTTCTCTGTGTAGTCCTGGAACTCACTCTGTAGACCAGGCTGGCCTCGAAATCAGAGATCCCCTTGCCTCCTGAGTGCTGGGATTACAGATATTTGCCACCATAACCACGAGGCCCATTCATTTCTTTTAGAGATTTTCATTATTAGTGTGTGTGTGTGTGTGTGTTCGAGCGTGTGCACATGCCCATGGAGGCCAGAAGAGGGCAGTGTATGCCCTGGAGCTGGAGTGGATGCTGAGAACCAAACTCTGGTCTTCTGGAAGAGCCACAGATGCTCTTCACCTCTGAGCCACTTATGCAACTGCTTATCTATTATTTCTATTTGTTTATTGTTTAATGTACAGGATTTTGCCTGTATGTATGCCTGGGTAAGGATGCCATATCCCCCTGGTACTGGATTTACAGTTGTGAACTGCCATGTGACTACTGGGAATTGAGCCACCATGTGGTTGCTGGGAATTGAACTCAGGACCTTTGGAAGAGCAGTCCAGTCAGTGCTCTTAACCACTGAGCCATCTCTCTAGCCCATCTCAGTAGCCCCCACCCCACCCCCCATCTATTCTTAAGACTAGTTCTTCTAGTTCTTACCATGTATCCTGGGCTGGCCTCAAACTCAGGCTCCTCCTTCCTCAACCTCCTGAGTGCAAGCATATGCCACCACATCTACTTACCAGACTTGTCTTGACCACTAACTGGCTGGGTGTCTCTGAACAGGCCACATGTGTGAGTGCTGAGGGTCCTCCCATCCCTGACAGGGTTTGAATTTTCGAGCAAATGGGAAAAGGTACTGGGAGCAACAACAGATTGCTGCTAAACACACTTGGTTCTTGGGTGCTGCCCCTCCCTATCCTGGCCAACATGGGATTCCAGTCACAAAAGGACTTCAGGCCCAGGCCCAATGAAGCTTCTGCCCGTGACATCCGGCTCAGAAGAGCAGAGTGATGGTGAGGAAAGAGAGCGTCTCCAGCGGGAAGGACAGTGGCTAAGGTGCCGGTGAGGCCCCCACCAGGGATGGGCTTGCAGAAAGCTGCCCCTGCCTTACATAGCTTGTCAAAAGCAACCCCCAAATCTTGGTCTCGAAGTCCCTTTATCCTGACCCCACACCTACCTAGTCCAAAGCTGCTTGGAACCCCAGTTCGGACCCCGCTTCTGACCTATCAGTGAGCTTGCAGACCGACCCCATCATAATTACACAGCGACCCCCTAGTCTTGCCTCGGACTGAACCCTAACTGGAGGGAGAATAATCAGAGAACTCTGGCGTGGAGTTCGGCGTCACCGCCTGCTTCGGGCGGGGTGGGGAGGGAGGGCAGGGAAGCCTGGTGGCTCGAGGCCACTCTCGGAAGGTCGGCGAGGCCTTGTGCAGGGCACGTCGCAGGCGCCCGAGGAATGCGCGTTGCCTGAAAGAATGAAGGAAGGAAGGAGCGGGGTGCGATGCAGGCGACCG